TGCCGGGCAGCATTCTTCCTCCGTACCCTATCCCATGAGCCTTTGCTGCTGGGACAAAGTCCTCTTTGTGTGCCCATGGCTCTTGGCTAGAGCACACAGAGCTTTGAAATTGTGTTTGAACGATGGGATTTTCATTTCTAGCCCTCCTTTTCGTGCTTGCTCTCACCCCTCTTTGCTTTCACTCTGACTCAACCCGCACCCTCCCCACCAAACCCACCTTTCTCTTAGCAACTGGCCGAGTAGGACGGTATTGCTCTGACACTAGCGCTATTTGTGTTACCTCTTCATTTTTATATTGGATCACAGCATCTGTTTCTCATGAGAAATTTCAAAAATCCTCGGACACATTTTTGTGTAACAGCAGTTTAGGTTGCGCGCTGAATATTTAGCTGTAAAACTTTGGGAAATTCATTTTTAAAGATGCTTCTAATTTACAGCTACATATTTGCATTCTTTGACTCTGTTATAGTAACTTTGGGTGAATCACAACTCAAAATAATCCAGATTTGAGAACTGGTGCAGCTCGTCAGTCTAGCCTCATCATTTAAGCCACTTTTCTTCTGATTGTCTGCCTCTGATAATCAGGAGGGTTGAACTAAGATGACCATATTAAGTGTATCCCCTCTTGTTGACATCATGCAGAGCCAAGAATAGAAAGAATTGTGTGAAACAGCATTTTATACCAGTCTGAATTCCGAGCTTCCAGCTCACAGCATGTCCTCCTCCCCAAAGGGAGTTTTTCCTCCCCACTGTCACCAAATGTGATCATCTACTCAGGTCTACATCACCGTTTGATTCTTGATTCTTCCAAACTGCATGTCAAAGGATCCTTGGGCAAGATGCTGAACACTGAGATGCCCCTGGTGGATTCATTAGAGGGCGAGTGTGTGCATGAATGTTAGACAAGGCGTTTGGAGAATAAAAGCGTTGTATGAATGTGTGTGATTGGGTGGATGAGGCTGGTAGTATAAAGCATTTTGAGTGCTCAATTAGAGTAGAAAGGCCCTATGTAAGTACCGGTCCACTTACCATTGTATGAGGAAACGTGTGACAGGAAATAGGGACATTCATAAAAGGCCCTTTAAATGTGTTCCTGGCCTTATTATGAGGATTGTAGATGCCCTCAAACACCCAAACGTGCTTCTTTTGTTTCCCTTGTGTTAATTTCTTTGCTTGTGCAACATAGTTGATGATAAATGTATATGTAGCTCTTATTAGTAAAACCAAAATGTAAAGGCTGTAACTTGAAAATGCGGATAGGCATAGTAGTGGATTACAGCTGTACACAACTGCTTCCATGTTGGAAAACATTCCTCTGGAAGCAAGTCTCACCACTAGGCGGCCATCTTGAAACTGCTCCGGGAACTTATTTGTATTAAGGTGAGGTTGGCCGTTATGAATGTCTCTCCTCCACAGCATGTCTTTATCCTGTCTTCCTTCTCTCTCCCCAACCGGTCACAGCAGATGGCCCCGCCCCTCCCTGAGCCTGGTTCTGCTGCAGGTTTCTTCCTGTTAAAAGGGAGTTTTTCCTTCCCACTGTCACCAAAGTGCTGCTCATAGGGGTCGTATGATTGTTGGGTTTTTCTCTGTATGTATTATTGTAGGGTCTACCTTACAATAAAAATTGCCTTGAGGTGACTGTTGTTGTGATTTGGCGCTGTATAAATACAATTAAATTGAATTGTATGTATTTTTTTATTTATTTTATGTAAGTGGCTTTTCCCCCTAGAAATTGCACTTCTAGCACCATCTTAATTTCCGTTCTGGATTATTTGAGAGCCATGCCTCTCTCTCAACATTTCTCTGCTGTTAGCTTTTCCTAACCCATGCTAAAGCTGATTTCTCCTAATGCTTGGCTTCATCTGGAGTGTCTTTACTACGAATTCACAGGAAAGAAAATAAATACTTACTGTCCACAGTTCGGTTTGTTATACTTAATGCCACTTTAAAATATTTCACGATGATTTTTGATTAAATATTTGCACATTTGCTGCTCTATTAATTTTTTTTGCCGCTTCTTTTTTTAACCTGAAGTACCTGAAAATTACAGCAGTAGATCCTCGGTGTGTGGCCGCATCACTTGGCTCTTTGCACCCACCTGCCTGCCATTGTTTGCATGTAATTTTGTCCATACAGGTATTTAAAGCTTGTTTTAAATGTTTACTATAATCAGCCTAAATCGCTCTGGATGTGAGTGTCAGCTGAATGTGTGAAACACACGTGTGCTTTACTCCCTCTAAGATGTTATTAAACAGGTTGTGGTGTCTTAAGCTAGTTGCAGCTTGTAGAAATGAGTGAGTGTGTGTATGTGTGTGTATGTCTGTGTGTGTGTGCCAGCAGACAGTTTATCCCCTAACTAGTAATCTTACAGCTGCCTGTCTGGCTCATACCTGCTGCTGTTCCTGTGCCACAGAAAACACAATCGGGAAACTGCAAGCCTTTACTATTGGGCCATGAATGAATGAATGAGTCAGTGTGGTGGATGATATGATGTTAATTGTGTTTGCCAACATCTAAATTTGTCCTGCAAAGTAAAATCCAGACTCTTATAGTTAACTTGTAATTGGACCATGGTGGTGGCTTCAGAAGCTCCTACAGACTCAGAAGATTAAGAAACAAAAGCAAATTTTTACTAATCACCTGTTGAGAAATAAAGATGCTCCATGGTAAATATATCCATCACTGTAGTAGCTCTCTGGTGCTACAGTATTAGCAAGCTGTTGTGTAATCTGATCAGCTGGCTTTGCTATCACACAGAGACACACACACATGTGTGAGCAGAGTTATAATTCTGTGCTCTTAAGGCGATTCATTCCTGGATCTTTACTGTAAATCCAAGTCTTAACCTTCAAAAAAGCCACTGAAGGAATGGTCACTGAAAAGACCTGGGACTCAAAGTGATGCTAGTAACAACAGGGATGCAAGAACACCTCATTAGTGATGTCACAGAGTAAACTCGCTGTCCATATTTAACTTTAATCACTGCCTCCTAATATTTACTAGTTTTCTAAGTTTTGCATATAGTTGTACATACACAACTTCATTTTCAAAACCTTAATTCAGTCACGCTGTGATCATTGTTTGTGTTATGTTGTGTTTTGTTGTGACTTCGACGCTGTGGGTGATGTGGTTCCAAGAGTTTGTGTGACGGTTTAGCTAGCAACAGCCTCCTGCAGAGATGAATGTTGAGGGTTAATGTTGCTGAATGTTGATAAATGTTCATAGTTTCTTAACAGGTAATAATTGTGTAGAAACACTTAGCTCGCTATGAAAAACAGGAAATTACTGCAACATTTTCGTGAGTTTACATTTGCAAACTAGGGTAGTATAAAATGCATTTACCTTTAAACTTTGAAGCCATTTACTTTGGTAAACCATTAAGTTCATGCAACTTCTTAAGTGCTTCACATTCAAAGTACAAAATTTAGCATAGATATATTAAATTGAGAGTATTTACTGATTTACGCAGCTTATGTTTTGCAGTGTACAGTATTATCTACTAGTTTTGTGAGCAAATGTTTGCTTTTTTTGGTTTTTTTGGGGGATCTGGGTTAAAATCTGAAGTTGCAAAGTTTCGCCATGTCTCACATGTCAGGTCGCAGGAAAGCCTGGAGAGCCATCAGAACAGAT